CACACACAAGACCACAAAGGTGTAACACCTTCACTACTCAGAGACACCACTGTGGTACAATAATGCTCATCACAGTAGCAATATATTCTCAGACATTCATCACAGATAGTGGTCAACAACTTCCCAGAGGCAGCATTGAATAACAAGCTTAAGCACACACATGACCACAAAGCTTAAACACACACAAGACCATAATCACAGTAATTGAAGTTAAAAAAGGTGACAGGAACTTCCCCACTTGTACATTGAAGCCCAAAAATTTGGATCAGGGCTTGGAAGCAAGATGTTCAGCATATCGATGTGTAGATGCATGCGTGAATAGAGCGCCTGAGAATGCTCAATCCCACATTTTTCACATCCCTCTGGGTCATCAATCTCAGTGTCGAGAAGAATTAAGTCCCCCTCCTCGCTCCCATGAAGAAAAACGTTGTCTTTCTGGGATTCAAGGTCGATGACGTCCTTCATGTCTCTGACCGGGGCAACATCGGCAGCATCGTCCTCGCTATGGATGACGATGACCTCGTCCTCCTCCGTGTCATCAGAGATGAAATTCACGTCCTCACCTCCACAATCTTGAAATTCCGTCTCAGGAACAAAAGATTCAAAACATAAATCCAACGATTCCATTGCAGATCGTGGAGGAGAAGGCGATTCATTGCAGATCTTGGAGTTGAGATTGAAAATCTCAAAAGATAAGATAAAAAGGGAGTGATTGAGGTTGGGTGAGGTTGGCGAAAGAGAGAGAGTCCGTAAATGAGAGGTTGGCGAGAGATAGTAAATGAGGGGTATTTTTGGAAGAGTATTGATAAAAACGTAGAGTGGAAAGATTATTTCCGGATGGAAAAAAACGTAGAGTGGGAAGTTTATTTCCGGACGGAGGGAGTAGTACCTAATAAGTTGTTTTAGCCCTACTTTAATCTCAACCAGTTAACTTATAATTAAAAAATATTTTTTTTATTTTTATTGATGAAAATAAATTCTCTGATGAAAGTATTCATATATGTGTGTGTGTGTAGGGGAGAGTTAGGGGGTAGGAACCATCGTTTTTACGAACGGAGCACTGTAGGTATACCAAACGAACTAGTGTAAGCAAATATATATATATATATATATATATATATATATATATATATATATATATATATATATATATATATATATATATATATATATATATATATATATATATATAGTTGACATTGAAATTAGTATTTTGCATAACAATGATATCATTCTCACTGGTTTGGGGTATTTTTTTTGAAGGTGGATCGATCATCAATGCTTGATCAAGTTCTTTATTAGTTGGCCATAGATATCATTTGCTTCACAACGTGCTCGATCTTCAAGTTCTTTATGTCCGTGTTCGTTCACATTTCTACGGAGGAGTAATTCTTTTCAAATTTGGGTGAATTCCCTGTTTGTGTAAAATCCGTGCAAGACATTTTTTTATATGTAATTCAAATATACATTTTTCCAAATAATGCAACCCGTATTTGGCTAATCCGTTTCTGATTTTATTATTAATTCAAACGGAGTAGGCTACTCCGTTTCATTGATTTAATTGCCAAACGGATTTGGCTAATCCGTCCAACCATTTTTTTGTATAGTTTTCTTGTTTGACTACTGGCAGTACTGGGTTCCACCATATTCCATTAATTTGTTGGCTAAAACTATTCCATTTAGTTTTTTGCTAAGTTGCCTAATCCGTTTTTCTTTCTTTTTTTTATAGTTTTCTTTATCATAATCACCTTCACTTATTTGTTCAAATATTTTTTACTTTAATTTTTTTTTGTTCAAATAATTTTTGTCACTTATAAATAAATTATAAAACTTAAAAATAAAATACTTTTATTTATCATTAAAATGTTTTTGTTCATAATTTTTTTTGATAATTTTATTTATCATTAAATAAATATACAATAATAAAATTTAAAAAAAATATAATGTCCCAAAACATGTTCGAGAAGTTATTCTATTTTATAAAGGAAAAATTACCCAAAATAATCCCAACTTTACCCGGTCTTTCAAAAATAATCTCACCTTTCACTCTGATGCATAATAATCCCAACTTTATTGAAATTTGCCAGTTTTGAGTCGCCGTTAAGTTTATAACGGAGGATTAACGGAAATGCCCGTTTTAGGCAACAAAATGAAAGTTGAGATTATTTTTGATGAATTTTCATTATTTTTTCGATTTTTTTAAAATTTTTCATTTAAATTTTTTGAATTACTTTCAACCTCCATTTCTTTTTCTTTTTTAAAGATTATTCTTACCTTAGAAAAAAAATAGATATAAGAAATAATAAAAATGAGAAAAATAACTAAAACCATACAAAATTAATCAAATAAATAGAAATTAAACAGGAACTAGTTAGAAATAAAATAAATATATACGGAGTGGTGGGTTTTAACATTTTACATACTATACAGACTCTTAATGTACTACTTATGAAAAAGAAATTATGATGGAGGTAGAAAGTAAAACTGGCAAATTTCAGTAAAGTTGGGATTATTATTCATCACAGTGAAAGGTGGGATTATTTTTGAAAGACCGGGTAAAGTTGAGATTATTTTGGGTAATTTTTCCTTTTATAAACAATTATTTGACCCAACAAAGCATTGTTTCTACGGTTGACTAAAAATGTAGGAATTTTTGGAGTCAATGATTTTTGTTAAGATTGACTTTTATAGATGGGTCTCGAAAAGACGAATCCAACGGTATATTTTATGAACAAATTTGATATAAAGATTTTCAGTTATGAATAACATGGACTATTGATCACGGAGACATCACAACGATGAATAACTATGTCATGAATTTAAGTTATGTTTGAGTTTATGTATTATTAAATTTACCAAATAAGTTTGTCATAGATTGTGTTTTGTAATCTTCTTTTTAGGAATAAACTATATGTACTCTATCAATAAATTTCATACAGACAATTTAAAATGGGACGAAGAGAGTATTAAATTTACTTAAAGTTAATAAATAGTAGTTTTATTATTAAATTTTATTAGAGTATATATTATTTAATGATAAATAAAATTATCAAAAAAAATTATGAACAAAAATATTTTAATGATATAGAAAAATATTTTATTTTTAAATTTTATAATTTATTTATAAGTAACAAAAATTATTTGAGCAAAAAAGAGAAGGTGATTTAAAATGATAAAGAAAAAAAAGGATTTGCAAGATGAAGAAAAAAAAGGGCAAACGGATTAGCCAACTTTGTTGGCAAAAAAATTACTAAAAATAAAGAATAGCAAAACGGATTTGCCAACTCCGTTTAGCAATTAAATCAAGCAAACACATTAGGCTACTCCGTTTAATTAAAATTTTCGAATAGAAACGGAGTAGCCAAATCCGTTTTGCATTATTAGGAAAAAAATGTCTGACTTACACTATCAGGAATGAAATTTTATTTTCTTACATATGTTCGTCATTTACTCTTCAAATTTTAGTTTTAACTTTTACTCGTAATAATAATGACAGTGGGAAAAGTTATCATGGAGTAGTTTCTATGTACGATTATTCATGTTGTCTACCAATCCATTTCCTTTGGCTTTTTTCTTTGTTTTTTTGTGGCGTAATTCAAATTTTTTAAAATTAGAATTATTTTAGTTTTTAGAAAGAATTTTTTTAGATGTAGTGGAACTATTTTTTTGATGTTGTTTTTTAATTTGTAAGTTTTACTTTTATTCTTTTACCAATTTTAAATAAAATGATTATAAAAAACAAGGAGTTTTGCATCATAATTCTAAAATGTAATCTAATTTGAGACGGAGGGATAAATAAAAATATGGAGCATATAAAAAAATAATTTTTATTAATTAAAATACATTTTAATAATGTCATTTGTTCAATAAATATAAATATTTTTTATGTTAAAATAAATAGGTGAATATTTTTTAATAATTCAAATATTACAAGAAAATGAAAAAGGTAATAAAAATAGTGACTTGCCACTGCAGGACATGCTACTCCACTCAATTGTCACACGCTGATTGGACTATTATTCATTGGTTGAAATGTTCCACGTCAACGTGTGACATTCCAATTTTGCCTCACCATTGCTCATGCTCTTATATAATGAGGTCTTTGACGTTAATGTTTACGAAAATAAACTACACCAATAAAATTTTATTTAAAACACTAAACATTATTCTCAAACAAAGTCATAATTAATTTCAATATTAAATTCCATAAATAATTCCTAATTACAAATTATTTTCTATACTTAGTCCCCAATTCTTATATTTTCCATAAATACTTTTCAATTTTCAAAAACTATTCCATAATTAGTCTTTCAGGAACTATTTGTGGAAGAAATATTTCTTCATATTTGGCCCAAAGGACTATTTACGAAATAGTCCTTTATATATATAAAGCAGAGTCGGAGTTGCACGAACGCGACATTTGGCAAAGCTGGGGAGTGACATTTGGCAAAGCTGAGGAGTGACATGTGGCAAATTGAGGTGGCAAGAGAATTAAATGAAAAAAAAATCACACGACCCATAAAGTAAGCTTTCCTTAGTCGTAAAAATCCCGGACCTTTCCTCATCTCAGATGAATGCACCATTCCTTTGCAATTAGAACATGATTTGTGGCGATTCAATTATTCTTTCCATATATCATGTATTCTTTCCTTAGTTTAATTTATGCTACGGCTTTAATTGATAATTTTTATTAATCTGAACATTGCCAAATTCTTAGGCTTCAATTGATAATTTATGCTATGCCAATAAAAGTGTATTAATATCGTAAATGTTTAAAAATAAAAATAGAATGGAAATTTGTTTGGAAAGAAAAAAAATTTGTTTCAGAAATAAAAAAATTAAAATTTTCATTTAAAAATTTTAAATTTCTGTTTCAAGAGATGTTATGCTATTACATATGGTAATTGTGATGTTTATATGGTAAGTAATAAAAGGCTATTAATTTCCATTCCAATAATATTTTATTACGTAAATATTCAACCCAATTTTTTATTTCACGCCAATAAAAGGGTATTTATACCGTAAATATTCAAAAATAAAACTAGAATGGAAATTTGTTTGGAAAGAAAAATATTCTGTTTTAGAAATAAAAAATTAAAATTTCCGTTTAAAAATTTTAAATTTCCGTTTCAAAAGATGTTATGTCATTACATATGGTAATTGTGATGTTTACATGGTAAGTAATAAAAGGCTATTAATTTTCGTTCTAATAATATTTTATTACGTAAATGTTCAACCCAATTTTTTATTTCATGCTAATAAAAGGATATTAATACCGTAAATTTTCAAAAATAAAAATAGAATGGAAATTTTTGAAAGAAAAAAATTTTATTTCAAAAATAAAAAATATTAAAATTTCTATTTAAAAATTTTAAATTTCCATTTCAAGAGATGTTATGTCATTACATATGGTAATTGTGATGTTTAGTTACTAAGTATTAAAAGGCTATAAATACACGCCAATAAAGGCTATTAATACCGTAAATGTTCAAAAATAAAAATAGAATGGAAATTTGTTTTGAAAGAAAAAAATTATGTTTCAAAAATAAAGGCCAAAAGGTAAGAATTAAATATTCTTGCTGTTTAAATATTCTTACCTTTTCAAAAATTTCTTCGGAAACAAAAAATTTTCCGTTTCAAAAATATAAAAAAATTCGTTTAAAAAATAAACCCTTTGTACTATGATTAGCCTTTTAGAATTATATACTATAAATACGGTCCTTTACAGACCCTTCGTAGTAAGATTATTCAACGTGTGTTTTTATTCAGTGCTTCAACATCGCCTTTTTTACGAGTATGAGGATTTTAACCGACTTAAAAAATGTTGATGAGAGGTCAGCACTATTAATGATGAAGGTCATGTTTGGGAATATCGTTAGAGATTAGCGGTAACGTTTTCAAAAGGCTATGTACAGGCAGCGTTTAGCATTAGCGTTTTCAAATTAATCTGCACCGTTAAAATTTTATCCAAAACGCTAACGCTAATCTCTAACGCTATTCCCAAACAGGCCCGAAACTAAGAGCGATAAGAGTTTATCACGTTCCTGCCCATTCTCGACGGCCGGAATCATTGGATATTATTTTTCATGACTCGGAGGTTAGTTCTTCATTATTTTATATTTTACATATCTTTATATATAAAATTTGAGAGTTAGGCTTCTAGAATTGTGATATGTGGCGCGCTGATTGGGCAATTTTTTTGACATGTCAGCACGCCATGTCATCAAGTTATATTTAAAGAATTAATTAATAAAAAAACTTATTCTATGAAAATTAAATTTTGTATTTGTTACACACAAATTTCTCAACATAATCGCGTTTAAAACTTTTATATCTTAATTCTTTTTTGGAAAATATTTAAATTAAATAATATATTTTGTAATTGAAAAAAGAACTCATATTCAAAAACCATAATCAAAAGAATAAATTTATTCTAAAAACGGATAAATTGGTAAAACTAAAAGAAATTACATATGAATATTTATTTTTACTTTGAATTAATACTAATTGGAGATATTTTCCAACTTTGAAAAAACAGAAATAGATATATAAAAGAAAAGGGATTTTAATGGGCATGTTTATTTAATAAAGTAATAATTTTATTCAGTATATATTTAAAAAATACTAAATTAAATAAAGAGTATATTCCATTTTAAAATTAGTAAATTCTATTTTTAAATTCTTATTTTCTATTACGAACTTTGTAAAAATTTAAAGATGTGTGCCACAAAATTACTATTTTCCATTAATAATTTTTGAAATGTTGAAGACTTAGTATGTGAGTATTTATGTGTGAGAAATTAATTATTAATTAGTTTTCCTAATAGAAATATTTATGATATAATATTAATTTTTATAAGTTTAATTACTATTAATTAAAATTCTGAAAATAAAAAACATGCTTATTTTGATATTTATGTCAAAATAATATAAATAAGTAATATTCTTGCTTA